TCAGATACTTATTTATTCAGCTCTGAACAACTTCAGATTCAACATGCTAAAGGTAGCATCCATGCTAACTCTGTAAACGCAGCCGGCTGAAAGAGATGTCTTTTTCTATGCATGCAGGTCACATCAGCGCCATATAGAGTTCACATAGGAGTCTGATGGAAGTTGCATTTAAAATGTAATGTGAACGTTCACACCAAAAAAATTTGAATTGAGCATTAAGACCTGCAGCGTGAACATAGCCAGAGACACAGAATCAGCTGTCAATCACAGCATGCTGCTGCTACTGTGTTAAAAAAAATAATTAATTAAAACAGGGCAGAAAATTTGATTTTATTTACGTTGTGGAAAATACAGCAAAATAAATATTAAGAAATGGGTGAGGTCAGTGAAAGATGGCATTCAGAAAGGAATTTGCTAAAGTTATATTTCATTTATTTATGAAAGGAAACACTAGAAAGAGCTCAGAAAGTTGTCTGTCAATCTTTGGACACATTTTGCTCAAACTCAAAGATGACAGTCAGATAGCCCTGCACCTGCACGTCAGCCCTGTGCAGTAAAATTCAAAAATTTGTTACATCATTTTGTAAGCCGCAGTGTTCAAACATATGTGAAAAAGTAGCTCATAATCCGAAAATTATAATAAGTTTCAATTTCTTTTTAGATACTGTATGTTGTGGAAAAAGTCGACTGAAAAATAATTATTCAAGTAAAATACACACAACCAAAACTTGTACTTAAGTACAATAAAGAAGTATTTGTAATTTGTTACTTTACAAATGAAATGAAACTAAATTTTAGAGCGTTTTTCTTTATTGTGTGGTATTTTTAACTACACACAAAGTTTCTGAAATGCTGCTACCACTTTCTTGATATAAATTAGAATAAACTGTCATTCCTCACCTGCTGTATCAAAGGAGAAGAGGAATGGTGGATGCAGTGGGCCAGGGGTTCAGTAAACAGAGGAAGACTATGATAAATGCTGGTAGGCTGCAGGCGCACAGGTCACACTAACATGCAGCAGCTTCTCTCTGCTCTTTATTTCTCTCTCTAATTACAACCTCAATTTGATTCTCTTTTTGCTTCATCTCTCTCTTTTCTTCCCTCTCCATTTGGCAGACGTCCTCACTTTATTATGGCCCACGCTGTCCTTTTATTGCCCACCAGCAGCAAACTTTATGTAATTTGTCATTGGGGGAGTGCTCATGGATTCTTCTGGCTGCCTCTGACGCTCTCACCTAAAAATCTAATCAGATCAGCGAAGGGCCCTAATCACGTCCTTGCGCTCCCTGATTGCATTTATAGACGTTCTGTCACTCTGCACTCCCCCAGCTGAGCGTTTCATAATTACTCTCTTCTTGCATTTGTTTATTTATATCTGCCTGTACTGTATGTGCGCCACGAGCTCATAGCCAGAACGACAGGATGAGAGGATTATAGAGGTGAGGGGTAATAGGCTGGAAGCCTTTGGGAGAGATTTCAAAATTATTACTCTTTTTTTATTTGAAATGTTCAAAGCAGCGCGTTTTGTATATTAGAATATTGTGGTGCTGAAGTCGAAAGGCAATAAATTTAAAGCCTTGGGTAAGGCGCTGGTTGCGTATTTTGCAGACTTTAGCAATGTGCAGTAACAAGATTCATTTTTTAAGTCCTGGCAGCGCTGCATAATTAATCTGTGAAAAAAAGAACAAACACTAAAGACATGTTAATGCCTCCCAGTGCATGTTAAGCATATTCAACCCAGTCTCACAGTAAAATCATGAAGCAAATGCCTGAATTTGGTGATTTATGGGTTTGTAATTACTAACATAAAAACAAAACTAAATTTAAAGTTTGAACATTCCTTGAAGGAACACATACCTGTTGTAATATTTTTTGATTTTTAAACGAAAATCAGCCAAACTTGAGAAAAAAATACTGATAACCTTACATTTAAAACAAGTATTTGCATAATCTTTTTTTCTATCAGTATTTCAGAAATCACAAATATTTCTTTTCTAGGACAAATGACATAATTTTCTCACATATAAAGGGATTGATGTTGTTGAAGTCCCTTGGAGCTGAGAGGCTGAGTGTGTAAAACCTGATTCATAGTCAATGAGAAGGCCCATCCTCATGTCTCACTGGTGTGGGTGTGTGAAGAAAAGCTGCATAATTTTCTACTCTTACCACCTGCTGAGACCCCTTCTTGTTTATTGCCCCAGTCAGAGGTAGTTCTCACAGCCCTATCATGTGATTGGTCAGATTTTAGTGGGCGTGTTTTGTGCGTAAAGTGGCTGATCTCTGAGCAGCGTGTGCTGAGGAGCTGCTGGAGGTACACTTCGCTGCAGCATGCAGAATGGGGCGGTGACAGACCTTTCCGTCAGTCCCATACCTTATATGGAAATGGGACTATTGCATTCCAGAAATGAAGGTTGCTCCTTAAAGACGCGGGATTAAGAGAGCAAAGGAAGAAGAAAGGAAGAAGTTAGAGAGTTTCTTCTACTCACGTTGAAGTACTCAGAGCATTATTTATTAATTTCTTTTATCCACCTCCCCAAACACAGACCCTCAGGTTAACCTCACAGGTTTAATGCCTAAGGTTAACCTCACAGGCCTAATGCCTAAGGTTAGTTTGTTACTGTAATATAATTTTAATATCCAAAAACAACAAAGATTTAATAAAGATTTCAAAATGAAAAAGGGACATACCACGTGACATAACACGTTGTGTAGCCATTTCCTTACTGTAATTTTTTTTTATTAAACAACAAAGAACACACAAAATGATACAATATACAAACAATAAGGCGTATTTCAAACAAACAAACAAACTTGCATAAAAGAGAAAAAGGATGGGTGCAAATAAAGACAAGAAATTCCTTACTGTAAAATTTCTATTGTTAATGTTGATAGTGTTCGATAGAAAATAGTGTCACTACCGCCCCCTTCATTTCCGGAATACAATAGTCCCATTTCCATATAAGGAATGGGACTGACGGAAAGGTCTGTCACCGCCCCGTTCTGCATGCTGCAGTGAAGTGTACTTGAGCTGCTGGGAGAGGCTGTGGGAAAACACAGCAAACATTACAAGTGTCCCAGTAGAAATTATAATGAAAGTCAAATAAACTTATGGAGGTATTAAAAGAACTCATGAAAGGAGACTGGACAACAGGAAACAGCGTAGACACACAGGCGGCCCAGTGGCTGTGCTGACCAGGATGGAGTGGATGGAGACATTATCACCCACCATCTGTTGGAAACATTAACTGCGTTTCCATTGACCATGAAAATGCGCAAATTAGAATTTCGAAAATAAATTTGCTCAATGGAAACACATCAATTTTGAAAAAAATATATATATATACTGTATATATTTCGACAAAATGTTTTTGCGCTAGGATGAGGTGGTTTTTCGGACTTATCGAAATTGGTGTTTTCGCAAAACTGGAATGGAAACACTTTTTTCATGTCACGGAGTCACATGATCAGCAACTGGCTGTTTCTACTGACGAAAAAGACAACAACAAAGAAGATAACAGGAAGTAGACATAGTAGTAATATCACAGAAGTTGTAAAAGAAAGTGGTAAACTCACCGACTACAATTTCCCTTTTTTTTCTTGATTACCAACATAAATACCAGGGGTTGGATTTCTAAAGTTTGCGTACGCACAAAATAGGTCCAGAAACTTGCGTACGCCACTTTTCACACAAAGGTTGTGATTTATAAAAATCCAAACTTGGCGTGAAAATGTGCGGTGCCTCAGCCAGCTCTGACCCATGCGTATGCTCATTTTAGAGACAGGAAGCTGCGACAGATGGTGAAGTGAGGAATTAGAGCCACACTGTGTAATGATCACTGTCAGATATTTAATTTCACTTCATAACCAAACTCAGATTTTAGATCAACTTTATCATAAGCTTTCTTAACAGTATTATTTATGCTTCTGCAGGTGAGCCATAAGGACATTTCAAATAAAAAAGACCTTCTAGACCTACTTAAAAACGTTCACGCATCTCCAACCCCCGCCCCCCCTTTCTAGCTTAAAATCAGGGCAATGTTTGGGTCATTTAATTTTCTGTATTTTTTTTAGCATCCCAGGCTCTAAGAAAAAATTAGAAGCTGAGTTTTTGAAAACATTTATGAGATACTCTAAACATCTGTATTCCTGCTAAATGAGGGAAAATCTGTGTAAATTACAGACAATCTGTTCACGTAAGCAGTTGTCAGCACCTGTCATCTTCCAGACACGTGACAGAGTGCATGTCTGAGCTGGCCAATTGCTTTTTTTGGCATTGATCAGCTGATTGATTTAAATACATCTTAACATTCATGAGGTACTTTGCATTGACTGTTTATGGTTGAGTGTGGGCGTGAAGTGGGTAGAACCTGAGGCAGGACCTTGTGCGCAAACTCTGAGGTGCAGCTGTGATCTAAGGAAACTGCTTGAAGGTGTACAAGCGCACAGTTTTATAAATCTGATTTATTTATTTATTTATTTTTTATTTTTGGCGTACGCCATTTTCACCTTTTGGCCGTAAGTTCACTCTTAGTATGGTTTCCATACAATCCTTTATAAATGAGACCCCTGATCTTTTTTCTCCATCTTCATCTGATACTGCAGATCCTGATTATCTGTCTTTAATGATTCTGATTGGACGTGACATGAGCGGCAGTCGGAGGATTGATCAGGATTTATATTCTGGTTCTTTTTTTAGTATGATTAGTCTGTGAGGAAAAAAATCCCATCTCAAATTACAACAGCAAGCTCTGAATTCTCACATCTTGTTGGGAGTATGTTGGATCCATACGTGTTTTGGAGGGGGGCACAAGGAGGGGCTTGTTCAGGACACCATTCATACCAGAACTATTACTGGTTGATTGGAGGGTTGAAGATGGTGGCGTACATTGTTTATTTCCTTTTGTTAATTTGATTAATTGATTGATTGATTGATTGATTGATTAAAGTGTTCTCCTTGTTGTTCATTTTATTTACCTGTGTTCATGTCTTCTATGTTCCAGGTTCAGCTGATTCACTATAATCATGAGCTGTATACGAATTACACAGAAGCGGCTAAAAGCCCCAATGGACTGGCCATCGTGTCCATATTTATGAAGGTAAGTCTGATCCACCTAAATAATGTCTGCCCACCAAGGTTTTATTCACTCAAAGGAAATTAACTTTATCGTGACACAGCTTGACCCAGCAGCTGCTACCATGACATTCTCCACTGGGTTATTAGTAGGAAATTTGGCAGAACTGCTTTGGACCAGAGTTTTCTACATTCAAGTGGTTTTGAGTTAGTAGCAGCACAAACAACATGACCTACACTTGTTCTGTGTTCATCAGTACAGGGCAGCTGCAGTATACATCAGTGGAACATAGTGAACAAAACTGAAAAGACTGAATCTTAATGTTAACAAAGCAAATCTCAGACAGACAGACGTACAGTACGTTTAAGTGGAGCCGCAGTCATATGGTCTGTGTTTTACTTTACGTTTGATTCTATTTGAAGCAGGAATAAATTCAGCAGTTAAATAAAAATCATTAAACTTCTAACTTAAGTGTTTGTTTTATAGTTTAATAAGATGGTTGGACTGCTTTAAACCATTGACATGGGAATAATCTTAAGAATGACTGGAATAAAGCCTATGGTGCAAAAACAAAATGTTTGATTATATGTTTGTGGTTGGAAGTTATGACACAATAATACTTCGAAATGAACAGCTGTTAAAGAAGCCTTTGTTCTCGTTTGACACAAGGTATCAAATCATAACTTAGATGGCCATGAAAACATCTGTATGTCATTTCAATATGATTCCCCAAAATATTTGTATAGTTTTTAAATTAACATTTAAGAAATTCTTCTTTGTTTTCTATGTGGGACAAATTATAAAATAAAATGTTAAAAAGTGTCACTAACACATTTTTATTATTAAAGGGATCCATGATTACTTGTAACATTAGACATTACTGGATAAACATTTACATAGACAGTAAAGCAAAGACTGTAAAAATGCTGCAGGTTGTTTAGTTTGTATAAAGTTTTTAAAAAATATTGTCACATGGATGCCGCCATTTTATTACACCTAAATGATGACATTCACTAGGTTTTCCTGTGCAAGCTTATCCACCCTGAAGGTTAATCTTAGACAACATCTGATGATCGATCTTTTAAATGAAACCAGAGAGCGTTGACAGAGAAGACTGTAGAAATGTCTTAAAATGTGACTGGTTCAGTGAAACCAGTTAAAGTAAAGTAAATTAAGTATATAAACAACTCTTTTCATGATGAGTTTGGTCATACATCAATTTGTAACATGTAACTAAGTGTTAAATTTAAAAGTAAAAGTATAATTTTCATGTTTTAAGTGAAACAAAACAAAAGTAAATTTTTATGGTTAAAAAATACTTGGTAAAAATACAAATCCTCAAAAAAAATTACTTAAATACTGTAACAAGGTAAATGTACTTAGTTACTATACATGTCTTCTCATTTTACATGTAAAATTAATACTCCACAAAAAAATAACATTCTCACGTGACATGAAAAACATAACATTTTTACAAAATGCGCACAATAAAAAATTATGCTGATTTTAAAAAATGACTGGCCTACTGGTCACTGCAACTAAAAAATGTTCTCATGACTTTGAGTCTCCAACAGAGTTAGTCCAAAGACCAGACCAGCCTTTTGACTCAGAACCAACTGAGTGATCCACTCATAGAGTGGTGGAGGAAATATCACTTCTTTGACTTTTGTAAAATACAACTAATGATATTAATAATAATAATTCTATATTGAAAATCTGAAATAAAATGGCCATTTCAGTAAAAATATTAACACAAAAATGCAAATTGGTGTTGAAATTCCTTCATTATGTGACGTTAGATTATTAAGTCATTATTGCCACTTGTAGCTAACTCAATAGCAGATTTTCTAAAGGCATTATAAAAACTGTCATTATAAGTGCTTTGATAGGCTTGCAAACTATTCTCAGCATCTTGCCAATGGACTAATGTTTCAGCTGTGCTTATTTAAACCAAAGCATTAAAATACGTTAAGTTCTTTATGAGTTCTGTCATTAAAGCTGTTAGAAAAAACAGGGAAGTGCAAGCAAAGAGTAGCATTTTAAATATATACATTTTTATTTTAGTAAATGTAATGTGTTATACTCAGGCCTTATGCTTTCATCAGACAAATCAGTCTGTACAAAGTGTGTACAACTAAGATCAGTTAATTAGAGCACAAACTGTGGAATGGGCCCCAAAAGCAGCTTAAATTTCAATGAGGTTGAACCAAATGATCCCAAAGGTGGGAGAAACCCAGTTTACTTTGTTTTATGTCACAGTTTAAGATTAAGAGCTAAGATGTCTGATTCTTTGTGTTTGTTGGTTTAAAGCAAAGAGACGTGATTTCATTAACACCCTCCACCCCATCCCAGCTGCTCCTAGAGGACCTGGACTCTTCCAAATCAAGAACTCATGATTCACAAACAATTAGCTATCCAATTATCCTGCAGAGGGAAACAAAGTGCTTCATGGATCGGCATCAGTGCTGAGTACCTCTGTTCAGCTGATGGCACAGCTCCATTGTCTCTTTGTTGTTTTTAAAAGATCTCTTGTATGAGAGGCACAGAGATGAAAAAGATGTCCTCAGCTAGAGTTCAGCTGCTAACTGGTAATGAGCTCATCACAGACAGAGGAAACAATTTCCTTCTTGACTACCTGCCCCACCTCAACCTCTCTTAGCTCAGATGGTAAAATCCTGAGGACTAGGTTATGCTAACAGCTGCACACCAGTAGGAAAACAGACATTTTTTTTCTCAGGTAAAAATGACCTAAAATATCCTGCCACTATTTTTAGTTGTCTGTATGTGTGTTGGTTTATTATGTTAGCAAAGTATGACACCTATCTCATAGACCAGTGCACAAATTTGAATGAAACTCTCTGAAATTGATGACTCATTCTGCAACTTCTCATCATAATTCAAGATGGCTGCCACAGCTAATCAGTTTTAGCTAATACAGGAATGAGTGTAACAGCCAGTTTTACAGATACTGAGCGAACGTTGATGTGGTAATAGCCGGGAGTCCTCCTCAACCCATTCTCTGAGTGCTAACACTCCAGTTTGGTTAAAGAGCCAATATTATGTGTTTCTTAGGCATATATTTAAATACTATGCCATACTTAAGTGTCTATGTCACCTTTAGCTGTTATTAAAATGCTGTTTTTTATGTTTAAATAGAAAATAATGTATGTATATTATAATATATAATATATACATACATATATATATATATACATTATATAATAATGTATATCTTTATATATGTATGGGTACGTGTATACGTATATTTATATGTGCCCCCAAATGTATTTATCCATTTATTTTTCAGGTGAGCGGACAGATGCTGGGTGTGTGATCCTGTGTTTTGTTGGTGTTTATTTAATATACTTCTAATCACTATGTCAATCTTTCTAATTACTTCTCTCTGTTTTTCTCTCTGTCTCTATTTTCTCTTCACTTATAAAAAAATAAAAAAATAAAAAAGTCACTGATGATGAAGAAATAAATAAACTAAACAAACTAAGATTTGGTTTCGTTTTCTACTGAAGTGACCAAAAAAAAAAAGAAAAAAAAAGAAAAAGAAAAAAAGAAAAAGAAAA